ACTTGGTCAGGCTATTGGAATCTAACTCGAGACCACCTGCAGTAACTGTATACGCATGCGTGTGTTCTACCGCTTTACATGAAACGGATAGCAGCTCACGCAGACCATTTTCCTTACCGACATCATGTCAAATTTGTCCATATGCTCCAGAAAAAATGCATTTATCGTCTAAGAACCATATCCTCAGTTTTTGTTTTCTTAAAGGGAGGAAGTATCTGACAGAATACCGTCATTAAGCATCCTATTTTAACCCACCGCTTACTCACGTAGAAGTAATTAAACCATGACATGAGTAGACCGAGCGAAAACACCGCTTGTGTCGTTAGGCTGACGTAGAATAACTGTACGGCTTGTCCCACATCTAGTTCGGTACGTCTGACTAGTGCATAGCTAAGTCGCCTATCTTTTTTCGCATCCACTGCAGAGGAGGCAGTCGCAATGGCAACGAAAGGCGATTTCGTGACAGGGGTTTGTCATAGACTGGTCGGGCTGTGTTGACTACCCTAAGCGGGCTTCAAAGGATATTCGTTAATTTAACTGACGGATGATTTGGCCACAGCATTTTGCCTATTTTAGCCACACTGTATATAAGTGTTTAATGCGGAGTAGACACGATGGGAGGGGGGAAGAAGGTGATCGTATACGGCTGACCATTAATCATGCTTGCGGAAGTCTCTTATGTGGGAGATTATCGATCTCCAAATGAAACTGGGGAAGAGAGGTGCGCTTCATTCGATTAATTCAATTGACATAACTGTGAAAAATCGTGGCCTTGGCAGAATTCGACCACCCATCAGCAGGGAAAGCTTTAGTACAGTCAACGCTCTACCAATTGAGCTACGAAGGCATGCCAGGAGCGCTGAATTTAATCACACTTGAGTCGATTTACCCACCCAGCCTACTGCACGTATAGAATCCACTGATAAGAATAGAGTAGGCTGATTGGCCAGGTAGGATTTCCTAAGCAGTCGTCTAGAATCCACAAGAATGGATACAAGGCCAACTTATGTGGGTTCGAATCCTAATTAAGCCACGAATATTTAACAATCGGGTCAATTGAATTATTTAATTCTGTGAAACCCGCCTTATAAGTAAGTATGCCTAGTAGTTATTCTGGTGGTTTCTAGATGATTGCTTAGGAAATCCTGCATGGACAGTTGGTTTACTATATCCATATCGGTGGATTCCATACGTGCAGTAGGTGAGCGGGTAAATCGACGCAAGTATGATTTAATTCAATTTTTCCTTTCATCATCCCCGGAAGAGGAAGAAGAAGGGGCGATTTCTGGGACAAGGTTGCATTTAGTTGACGTTTCAAAAGCCTTCCCGCTTCCATCGTCAAATGTGGTGACCGTTCTCCTGCTGGTGCCAGTAAGTTTGTCCGAACGCCAGCCTGACGCCTGATGCCCGTGTGTCAATCGATTGTACCGATCGATTTTTGTGGCTGTTTGAATTGCTTACGCCCTCGCGGGCGCTTTCATGAGGCGCGTTGAGTCGTTTGTGTGCATCCTGAGCGTTTCCACCTTCTTCACTCGCGGTTGCCGACTGTCGGCCCTGCGTATCTTCATCCACCCGACTTATTGCTCCGTTCTCCGTTCTGCGGAGCACTTGGTAGGCGGGATAAAGTTGGTCCTCAAGTGACCCACTAAACAGAGCCATAGACCTTCATCCCGCAAGCGTTCGGACAAACTTACTGACACCAGCAGGAGAACGGTCACCACGCTTTGACGATGGAAGCGAGAAGGCTTTTGAAACGTCAGCTAAAATGCAACCTGGT